GGGAAAGGGGAGATAGGGGGGAAAGGGCGAGAATATTTTTGAGGTACTTTTAAATGTCGACGAAAAAAAGGGAACGGTAATTTCATGCACTGGCCAGGGAGGTATCCCATCTTTTAGGGTGAAAAAGAACAGGATTGGTGTGGGGAGTACAGAGGCATTAGCAAATGAAAGGGGGGTAAAGCAGCTAAAACTGACGGGATAAACAGAAATGTTAAAAGGGGGGAGATACAGATACTTGGAGTGGTTGTATTTTTGTTTAATAAATGTATGAAAGAGGGGAAGGTACCTAGGGATTGGCAGAGAGCACGTATAGTCCCTTTATATAAAGGGAAGGGGGACAAAAGAGATTGTAAAAATTATAGGGGAATAAGTTTACCGAGTATACCGGGAAAAGTATACGGTAGGGTTATAATTGAAAGAATTAGAGGTAAGACAGAATGTAGGATTGCAGATGAGCAAGGTGGTTTCAGAGTGGGTAGGGGATGTGTAGATCAAGTGTTTACATTGAAGTATATATGTGAACAGTATTTAGATAAAGGTAGGGAAGTTTTTATTGCATTTATGGATTTAGAAAAGGCATATGATAATGGAGCAATGTGGCAGATGTTGCAAGTATATGGAATGCTGTAAAGAGTTTTTATGAGGATAGTGAGGCTCAGGTTAGGGTGTGTAGAAGAGAGGTAGACTACTTCCCAGTGAAAGTAGGTCTTAGACAGGGATGTGTAATGTCACCATGGTTGTTTAATATATTTATAGATGGGGTTGTAAAAGAAGTAAATGCTAGGGTTTTCAGGAGCAGGGTGGGATTAAATTATGGGGAATCAAATACAAAATGGGAATTGACAGTTGCTTTTTGCTGATGATACTGTGCTTATGGGAGATTCTAAAAAAAAATTGCGTGGGTTAGTGGATGAGTTTGGGAGTGTGTGTAAAGGTAGAAAGTTGAAAGTGAACATAGAAAAGAGTAAGGTGATGAGGGTATCAAATGATTTAGATAAAGAAAAATTGGATATCAAATTGGGGAGGAGTATGGAAGTGAATGTTTTCAGATACATGTACTTGGGACTTGATGTGTTGGCGGATGGATTTATTAAATTCAGTTTAATTCAAGTTTATTCTCTATAAGGGTTACAATGTGGGGTTTACAGGTTTTGGGTATTGTGTGGTTTACATGTTATAAAATACTAATTACAGAGGGGGCCACTATGACACCTAGCATGGCTAGGCATTTCGAGCAGATTTAGATTAATTCTTAACATTAAATCCTTACAGATTAAGGTATTAAGGCTAAGTGACTACATCATAATTTGTGAGTTTAGCAATCTGAATGCTTTTGTTTTGGCACAATACAAAGTGTCTATATTGGAGTATCATAGGCAAACTTATGACTAGTTAAGATTTATTATTTTGAGATTAAGATTAGTATTTCTGGGTTTATAGTCAGTGGGTGAGTGAGTGTAATTGTGAACCACCAGGTGGTTATCATGTAGTTAGTTGTCGGGGTGGATCAGGGAGATAAGATGTTTTCTAACTGTAGTTTTGAAAGTGATGAATGTGTCTGCAGTTCTAGAGTTTTCAGTGAGGGTGTTCCAGATTTTAGGTCCTTTGAAATACATTGAATTTTTGTAAAGGTTTAGTCGAATACGAGGAATGTCAGAGATGTTTGTGTCTGGTGTTATGCCTGTGGATCCTGTCACAACTATCAAGAAAGTGTTTTAGGTCAAGGTTAATATTGGAATTTAAGGTACTGCAGATATAGATTGCACAGTAGTAAGTGTGGATGTTCTGAACAGGGAGTAAGTTTAGATCTATGAAGAGTGGGGGGGTGTGTTGCCAGGGATGGGATTTAGTGATTATTCTTACTGCGGCTTTTTGTTGGGTTTTTATTGGCTTTAGGTGTGTTGCTGCAGTTGAACCCCAAGCACAGATAACATAGGTGAGGTATGGATATATAAGTGAATGGTATAGTGTGAGAAGGGCAGTTTGCGGCACGTAGTATCGTATCTTGGAGAGGATCCCCACCGGTTTGGATACTTTTTTTTATGTGTTGGATGTGGGTGCAGAAATTTAGGTTGTTGTCGAGGTATAGGCCTAGGAATTTGCCCTCACTATGTCTGGCAATTAGTGTTGTCGATCTTAATGTTAAGTTGCGCAACACCTGCTCTGCTACCAAACATAATATAGTAGGTTTTGCCTGTGTTAAGTGTAAGTTTATTGGCTGTCATCCAAGTCGATATTTTGAGTAGCTCCTCGTTAACAATGGTGTTGAGGGTGGCAAGATTAGGGTGGGAGATGACATAAGTCATGTCGTCAGCAAAGAGAATGGGTTTCAGGTGTTGGGATATGTTTGGAAGATCATTGATGTAAATGAGGAAGAGCAGGGGTCCAAGGACACTTCCTTGCGGAACTCCAGTATCAAGTGGCCGTGTCTTTAATGGTGACATACTGATTCCTATTAGAAAGGTAGGATTTAAAATATTTAAGCACATGGCCTCTTATACCATAGTGGTCAAGTTTGTGGAGTAGGATGCCGTGGTCTACTGTGTCAAATGCTTTTCTTAGGTCAATAAAAATTCCTAGCAGATATTCCTTATTTTCCAATGCTGTGTAAAGCAAGTCTAGCATTTTTATAATTGCATCATTAGTGCTTTTATTTTTCCTGAATCCAACTTCTTTAGGCAATACCATCTAAAGTTCTGAAGGGCTTCTCTAACTTCATTTTGAGAAAAATATAGTGGTTTCCCAGGTTAGTTAGTTACTGCATTTTGATGAAGATTTCTCGTAATGCTTCGTGCCATCAGATGAGAACCCTCAGGTGTAAAGAGTAATAGAGATACATTGAGAAAAAATGCTGTATTGCCATATGAATCTTTAAACCAATCGTGTAACACTCTCCTTTCAGGGCATGACAATTAAACCTCTAGTCAACCTTCTTCAAATTCAGAAGCGAAGGGTTGGGCGTAACAATTTAAATGAGGAAATCAATGGTACTGCCATGGATCACATCATGGCTGGCGTGGAGGAGATTCTTGGCCAGCATGGAGACTTTTACCTCAGGGTAAGCTGGGAGTTATCCATATTAACACGGACCAAGACATTAAGAAAAGTAAATTTAAAATAAGGTGACAAACGCAAATCTTTTTCAAAATTCAATTGTGGGCCCTGCTGCTATGCAGCTGTTTTCACTTGTACCCATTCTTCATTTATTCAGACTTCCTACACTGTATTCACCACTCATTATAAGCTAAGGATGAAAATATTTAAGTAATGTATGTATTGTATATGCATTTTTTAGGCCTAGTTCTATTACAGGCCTGCCTGCACTGTACAGTATTGCACAACATATGGCAATCTGAAGGATCATAGAATGCACAGCATCTCAGGCAAATCTTAGATTATACATAAAATCTACATAGTTTTATTTTCTGTTCCTCTAATCGGTCTGATACACAGTATTAAAAGGAATTTAAAAACAGATATAAGTTATGAGCTAATTCATAAATAAAAAAAATAATTACCTAGTTACAGTTCATAACAGAGTTTATATTTGAATGGTTTCTGCTGTATATACGCTATGTGAGTGCAGTAAAAAGGCATAACATGCAAAGCAAATCATTGTATACTGTCAACATTTCACCTGAAGCAAAGCAAAACATCTGTAAATGAGTTTATCTGAACGTGGTTTCTTTTTACGATAATTATAGGCATTCAACATAAAATAAAGTACTGAGAAGGACAATGTTTGTAGTAAACTTTATCAAGCTCGGCTTGATAAAGTTCAGTTTAGATGAAGTGTCTTAATAAAAATTTCACTATAAATATTCAATGGTGTCTTTCTCACCATCTGCCAGCTTGCACCATCACTCATGAAATAAGGTTGCTGTTAATGACAAGCAGAAGGCATTCCAACTGACTTGAAGGAACCATAGAAGCTCTACTGCAGGGGTAGTAAACTGGAGCCATTTTGACTCGCAAAATTGTAATAACACAATTGCAAACAAACCATGGTATGGGTGGGGTTAGAACCCATGGCAAGTGAGTCGTAAAACCCCACTTGTTATGGGTTTAACCCCACCCGTACTGTGGTATTTTTTAGTCATTTTCCCATTAGCAGCAATCACACTGCAATCTACTTGGCTATCTTCTTCATTTTCTCCACTATGCATTATTATATTCGCAAAAAATTGCTAAACCCAAATTGGTCATAAAACTCTGTTAACTAATGCATTCTCTTTCTTGTAAATACTTTAAATTAGGGAGATGCTATGAACATTTGAAGAAAGTGTATCAAAATGTAGAAGAACTTTTTTAGAAAACCATTTTTTTTTATGCAGTACAGGTACAGCATCGATTTTCCGGACACTGATGGTTTGGAAACTCTTATAATCCATATAAATTTACGAGCAGGAACTTGAAATTCCCGCGGCAGTGCATTTACAACCCCACTGTACGTCACTTATCCAACCCCAAGACCAAGGAATACTGCACTCTCTAAAGGCGGAAAACTCGGTAATCCACAAAGGCTTTGGAACCAATGGGTCCAGAAAATCGATGTTGTACCTGTATTAATAAGAGATGTTAGCTAGCTAATTAAATCAAATAAACAGTCTTAAATATAAAAATTTCATGTTGCTAGGTGTATAAAGTACACACTGGTATACTTCCTTTCAGGAGCTGATGATACACTACAATGATAAGTACCTCAAAAAGTGGTTTCTCCGGCCTTCGTGTGAAACAAAACTACAAAGGCTTTTTGAAAAAATTGCCATTTCGTGAGTATGATTCTGTAATCATAATTTGGGTTATACATTTGCTATATTGGGGCCATAATTTTCTTCCATCATTTTTGTTCATTGTCTAAAATTTATCAAGAGTTATATCTAACAATCAATTATTGCACAAGGGATTTACACATTCCATGTTATCATTGCATTTATGGGGATGCACTAAACCTGTAGATCTCACACAGTTTATAGGAATGGGGAGGCATTTAGTTTTGATATACAAGGGAAACCAATTAGCTGGACTTGAGTCCTGGAGGTGGGAAGTACAGTGCCTGCACTCTAAAGGAGGGGTTTGGGGTATTTGCTATTTTGAGAACATCTAAACTGTCATATCTGCATGCCTCGGGCAAGACAGTGATAGTGTGAATGATGGTGAAAGTGTTTCTTCTTTGGGTCACCCGCCTCAGTGGGAGACAGCCAGTGTTTTGAAAAAAAAAAGATAAGGAAAGAGAAGTTAGCTCTAATTCTCTGGATGTAACCCTTAAACTGTCCAAACGTAGATCTACGTTTACTCGAATAGCGCTCTGAATGTAGATCTACGTTCAGTTTTAACATGCTTTCTCTTGTAAAAAAACAGATCTATGTTCGGAGCACTACGTGAGTGACTGTAGATCTACGTTTGGACAGTTTAAGATTAAACTGTCCAAACGTAGATCTATGTTCACTCGCCTAGTTTTCTGAATGTTTTGTAAAAAAAATTTTTTTTTTAAATGAAGAGGGCATTATTCTACACATTATAAGATAAAAAAAAATTAGGATCAGTACTTATTGAGATATAAGCCCTCAAAGTTGGCACTGGATGCTCACCTGACGGCATTATAGAGTCTGCCACTTGCGAAAGTGTTGCCAATATACTTTTTTTCTCATTTTTATTTTAATTTATATAATTTTTGTTCTGATAATTACAGTTTATAGTAGTTCTTGTGATTTCATAGCCAATCTTTGTTCTGACACTAATAGTATTAGGTACTGAAATAGTACTCAGTCACAAACACACCAACAGGTGAACCTTGCACATTTACTATTGTCTAGAAGTATATACTATATACAAAGTATTTATAGGTCTCAGCAATGTTTTAGAAATGCTGGAGTATATATGAAACTCTTTGAAACATGGTATTAAGACGAGTGTTACTAAACTGCTGACATTGCAGCAGTGGAGTGACACTGAAAGTGCACTGCTCCAGGGAACCCTGGCTTTATTTGTTTTCACTGTTACACACAAACATGTATATCTGTCTAGCTCTGCTTATCTGTCTGTCTGCCTGTGTGTCTGTCTTTTTGTCTGCGTGTGTGTGTCTGTCTTTCCGTCGGCTTGTCTCCCTGTCTCAGAGAGCGGCTTGTAAATCAACAGGTTTTAGACATGATGCAGTTGTCATGTCTGATTCCTGATCAAGTGAAAATGCTTATTATGCTTTATATCTACAAGCACTGTAGTGATTAACCTAACTAAATCTAGAGTGAGCCTCTCATCCCGCCAACAGATACTGCCAACAAACTAAATGTCTTTTTCTCCACTGTAGGAACAACACTAGCAAGCAGAATCTCAAACTCAAACACACAACCAAACAACTACCTCACTGGCAACTACCCAATACACTCTGTTCCTAACCCCAACAAACCCTACTGAAATCTCACTCATCAAAACACTAAAGAACAAGGCAGGAGACCTAAATAGCTTACCACCATTTATGTATAAAAAAGCTTCTCATTTGTTGTCACCCATTATTGCAACACTTTTTAACAAGTCCATTGAATCTTCAACCTTCCCATCCCTACTCAAGACAGCAAGAGTTACACCAATCCACAAAGGAGGTGATCCTACTGATTTAAATAACTAGAGCCCTATATCAAGCTACCCCTTCTATCTAAAATCTTTGAAAAAATAAAACACAAGCAAGTTTTACTCCTACTTTGTACTCACAACATAACTTAACCCCCTGCCAGTTTGAATTAGGCCAAGCAAAAAAAACAAATGAGCAATTATACATATGCTCGAGCTTCTGTATATGGCGCTAGGAAAAAAAAAGGAAATTCCACTGAGCTTCTTCATAGACTTACGAAAGCATTTGATACAGTTGACCACGATCTCTTACACTGAAACTTGAACATAACGGGGTCAGAGGACACTCACCGATTACCTTAAATCGTATCTTAGCAATAGACACCAGTAAGTATAAAACAAAATTTAGTTTCCTCCCCC